CAGTGGCTTAACTACAGCAAAATTATTGTGAAGAAAATGCAAGTAAAGTTGGTATGAATATAATCATAATTATAAGAGTATATAGATACAGAGCCAATCAGTGCAAGGACAAATGGCATTAAATTCATTCTAATTGAAGGGTCCTCATATTGTTCTTAAACAAAGACATTGCACATTTGTATTAGCTAATTGCCATAAATTTTGGAGAAGAAAGTGGGGCAGGGTATACATGCAGCATAACAATCCTCCATTTAATGCATTTGTCTGGGTTGGTGTCGAACAAATAATTCGATAATTTAATAGTTAAAATTAATTTTAATAAATTATTATATTAATTTTAAATATTTAAATTAATTTTAATTAATATTTATCTTTCTTCAAATTTTATGTAAAACAAAAAAAAAAAAAAAAAAAAATTTGCAAATTTTCAGAAATGCCCAAAAAGTCATGCATGTTGACATTGAAACAGTAGAATATTATTGCTAACTAGAGTTTTATGTTCATATTTATTAGTAACTCTGTTTTGCCGAAAATTCAGGCTCTACCGTTCAAATCAAGCATTAAAGTAGTTGAGCGTATAGCACTAAACTTTAAGGGTTGAAAAATAGGTTCGTGGGTCTACCTCTATACGGCTGTAATTGTTATATTGTGAAGATTATTGTATTATATTTAAATATCACGAGTTTAAATCTTATTAAATATATAAAATTTATCATTTTATAAGTGTAATATGAATTTATGAAAGTAAACGTATAATGTATTATTATAAATTAGCATAAGTTGTAACGGTTCGAAAACTTAAAAAATAAAAATAAAATTATGAATTAAATGCGGAAGCGAAATAATATAGTCTCTTTTAAAATGGTCAACAAAAATTAAAAAATAAAAATAAACGAAAAATAAACAACTGAGCATCGTAGAACGACATTCACTAGCTTTTGAAAGAGTTCGGATTATGAACTATTCACAATTTTCTTGTTGATCGGAATCTGGATATGAGTTCTCTTGATCTGAAATGGTTAATGAAAGAATGAGTTACACTAACGCAGTAAGAATATCACACTACTTACCGATACATAAATGAAGATTGTTAAAAATCATAAAAACAAGTAATTAATCTCTTAAATTAAGTAAATTCATTTATCATTAATAAAATCATTTATGGTATACTCAACGTAACTAGATTTTCAAAACCGACATATAGAGCCAATAATATAAACAACATTATAATCTCATATTCAATTAGGTAAAATAATAACTTTTTATTCTTATTTTCTTACTGGTATCCTTTGAGATCTATAGGAATGTCCACTACACGTAAACTATTATTCAACATTGTCAACTAACCGGTTGTCCGTATACCCTATCTGATATGAGCGTTAAAAATATTATCCCTCAATACCCCGTCTGGTATGAGAGTGAAATAACACCCAAAATTTATATTTTTATTTTTTAATTTATTTTAATTTTTATTAGAAATTTTGTTTAATTTTATTCTATTTTAATATTTAATTTATAAAGTTTTAATTTAATTTAATAGAAATAATAATAATAATAATAATAATAAATTAAGGTAAAATTATTTTTGAGATTTAATTGAAATTTATTTTAGGGAAAAAATGTGAAAATTTAGATTCTGGAGGTGTTTTTGAAAAGAAAATCAAAAATCGAGGGTCAAAACGCAATTTAGAAAAGTTGTGCAGCGTCAACAGCCACGTCAGCAGCTCAGTCAGCAACCCCGGCCAACCAGAACACGCCGCGTGGCAAGGACACTGACGCGGGAGGCGATGCGGGACAGAGCCACGTGGGTGATCCGCGTGCACGCGATCGAACGGTCCAGATCTCACGCGTACGGACAGCCTAGATCTCACGCGCATGGATGGCCTAGATTAAATCACGCACAGACGGCCCATATTGCATCCCAATGGACAGCCCAGATTTATTCATATTTTAATCGCAATCGGACGACCCATATTAAATCGTGATGGACGGTTGAGATTAAAAGAGAATGTTATAAATAACCTCAACCACACCCAACCCCAAACCCTAGTCGCCAGTACCCTCGCAAGAGAAGAAGAACCAGTCACCGGAGGAGCCAGTCGCCGCCACCCGCCGCCGCACCGGAGGATTTTCCGACCGCCAAACGATGTAAATTTTCTCCCCTTGGCTCATTTTTCGATGCTGAATCCGCCTATGGCCAAATCAGAGTCAAACCACCAGCCAATCGGCCTAAAAATACAGCTGAAGTCCAGCGGCGCCGCCACGGCTTCTCTCGATTTTTGCCTTGATGAGGCCCTTCCCAGTTCCCATTCGATGCAATTTTTACACCACTGTGATCATCGTCCTTTTCTCTACAAGTTGACCGGAGCAAAATATCAAATCGCGACTCGCGCCGGAGAAGCCCGAGAGCTCCGCCGCCGGTAAGTCTCGATTTTTCATGATTTTTTGGCCCATCGAGGGCCCTAGGGTTGTTCTATCGCAGGAACTAATGCAAGTTTGGCTGAATTCGGCCAAAAACAGCCAACCCGAGGTGGATCTCCGCCGCGTGCCGTCGCCGGAGCACGGCGGAGCCGCCGTGCCAGAATTTCGATATTGGTTGAAAGGGCCTTGGGTCTGATTTAAGGTTTTTTGGGGACATGTGTAGGTACCGGAAGCGTGTTTCAGTTCCCGGAAAAAAATTCAGGGAATCTAGGGACTGCCCGTAGGCGCAGTGTGAACCCAATTTCAGACGTCGAAACAAGCAAGGATCTCTCACCCTGTTTCCTATCATGGTATTAAAGTTTAATAAATGATAAACAGGTATTTTATGAATTAATAGATGTGTATAATTAATTAAGGTTGCTAATGGAGCCCGAACCTAATGTATTTTTCGATCAGTTGTTATTTGATCTATTTTACAGTTTTAAATACAGTATGGTATTTGATGTATTTATTCTATGTTCTCATATGTATGAATCACGGTTTTGTTTATCATGGTTTGAATTATGGTGAACCCGATGTTGTGTTGTTTTGTTTGGTGTTCATTACTTGTTGACGTGTTTATGTTTGATTTGATAATTGAGACCAAGAAAAATACAAAAATGTATGTAAATTGATAAATGGATAATGTGACAGCCTGACTATATATACTGATAGATGGTGAACAGACCGGATCCGTAGGGAACCCTACCGGGAACGTGGTCTCTCATATCGGACGGGGTATGAAGACCTTATGTATTTTGGCGCCCAGCCCGTTTCACCCTCATACCGGACGGGATATTGAGGTTTATGGTTTTGGTGCCCATACCGGACGAGGTATGGAGATGACTCGTTTCACCCTCATACCGGACGGGGTATTGAGGTTTATGGTTTTGGCGCCCATACCGGACGGGGTATGGGGAAGGCTCTGGAATCAGGTTATTAACGTTAATGGTTCACGTGTAGCGGGGACCCCCTATAGATCCCCATGGATACTAGTAGACTGGTAAAAGATGAGAATTGTTGTCTGATTATTGAAGTGCAAAAGTATAACATGTGTTATGTTACAAAGTGTATATGATTTTATAATAGTTATAATTTTATTGTTTTCATTTCATGAATCTCACCGAGGTAAGTGGACAGTAAATGTTTTTATTATTAATAAATGAGTTTGTTATAAATTATGCTCCATTTGTCGTTTTTGTTTTCTACCAACCTTTACTTCTGTGGTAGTGAGATAGTGTGATGTATTTACTGGACTAGTGTAGCTCATTTCTTACTTAACTATTTCAGATCAGGAAGACGTGGTTTCCGAGCCCATTCCGCAGGAAGATGGCAAGTTAGACGCCTAAATATTTTATAGTTCTATTTATAATTTTTATTTTGAGTATTTCCTTTAATTAGCTTATTCTTTCACACGTTGAATACGTTTATGGTTATAGTGTAATTGATGTAAATCATAATTTTTATTTCGCTTTCGCACTTAGAATTTTTAATACATACATTTTTATTTTTATTTCCGGAGCTGTTACAGAAATTGATCGTTCTCATACCCCGTTCAGTATGAGCGCCAAAAATATCAATTCTCAATACCCCGTCTAGTATGAGAGTAAAACGGGTTGTCCCCATACCCTGTCCGGTATGAGCACTAAAAATATTAATTTTCGATACTCCGTCCAGTATGAGATGGCGTTCACGGTAGGGTTCCCTATGTTCCCAGTCTGTCAAAATTTTCACCTATTTTTTTTTAAAATATTTCTAATTTCATTTTCAATCTATTTTTTTTTTCTAATTTAACATTAAATAAAAATATATAAATTTAAAAATAATATATATTTTAATTTTAAAATTAATGTCGGGTTAAATTTCGGGTTCAGGTATTACATAAGTAAATTAACAATGTTTGATTTATTATAATCAAAAACTTAATTCATTAGTGTATTGACAGAAATATAATAGCTAAATAAATATAATTTTAATATAACGAGACCAAAAATTATAATATTTAGTTTAATATAACACAAAAATCTAATCTATTAATATATTAATAATATTGTGGTAATTAAATTAGATTATAATGCATATTATGAGTTACCGGATTTAATATATAGTATTTGTTAATAAGACCATAAATTTAATTTATTAGTATATTAATAAAATTATAATGACTAAATGAGTTTAAATCTCATAAATTTATTATATTTACGAGTAAAAATGATATTTTATAATGAATAGATTTCATTAATTTGAATCATTAGAACGAAGTAAAAATTTAACATAATATTTTTTCTTGAAAGAAAACAAGTTTACACACAGGCATATATATATATATATATACACATATATAGATATTTTAATGGTAAAAATATATTTGATAATTGTTTTAGATACTAAAAAATTTTAAATTAAATCATTGGGTTTAATTTAATTAAGATTTTTTTTTTTTTTTTATAAAAAAGTACAGTAATGAGCAGGCCTGTAATTGGTGTAAAGACAAAATGAGAAAGAGATGTGCAAACAATGCCAGCAAAAGACGGCAATAAAAACCTCTGTCTCTCTCTCTCTCGCCGGCTGCTTAATTCCATTTCCTCATTTTCGCCAGCCCATCATCATCCTCTTCCCAAATACTCCTTTAAATCCCTCTTCTTTGGATGACTCAGTCATCTCTTCCATTTTCATTTTTTTTTTCCTTTTCAAATAATTTTTTAATTCACAAAACTTAGCAACCTCTCTCTCTCTCTCTCTCTTCGTATTCCTCTTCGTTCGATTTGTTCTGTTGTTTGATGGCGAAATTATCGCAGCAGAAAAACAATGCACAGAATGGTGCTGGAAACAGTACGACTGGAAATAATACTGGAGTTACCAAAGTGAAACGTACGCGGAGAAGTGTCCCTAGGGATTCTCCGCCTCAACGTAGCTCGATTTACAGAGGTGTCACCAGGTGATCCTTAGTTTCTCCTTTCATTTCTGCAATATTCTCAAAATCGACTCGCGTAATTTTCTTCTCTTCCTCTCCTCATCATCCTCCTCTTCTTCTTCTTCTTCTTCTACTTCCTCTTCTTCAGGCATCGATGGACAGGACGATACGAAGCTCATTTGTGGGACAAGAATTGCTGGAACGAATCGCAGAACAAGAAAGGCAGACAAGGTTCCTTCATTAACTATCTCAACGAATTACTCGGTTTTTATAATTAATCAACCTTTGCTTAGTTTCCTTACGATTTCGTTTTGGTTTTCTCTTCCTCATTGCTGGAATTCCTACTCAAAAACACAGTCTATCTCGGTACGTGCTTCTCAGATCATACTAATTATCCTTCCAAACGAATAAACTATCAAATTAATCTCTCTTTTTGTTTAATTAATTTTTCAGGCGCTTATGATGATGAAGAAGCTGCTGCTCACGCTTACGACTTGGCAGCACTCAAGTACTGGGGAGAAGATACTATTCTTAATTTTCCGGTAATTAGTGTTCGTTCTTCTTAACTTAAACGATTAAACTTGTTTGATTAAGGTAAAAACTCATATTAGATTGAATTTTGCCAGTTATCCACATACCAAAAGCAACTCAAGGAAATGGAAGGTCAGTCCAGAGAAGAATATATTGGATCGTTAAGAAGGTGAGAGAAGGTTCAAACTGATTTATTTATTATAATTTAAATTATATAATTCTAATTAAAAATTAAAAAAAAAAAAGTTTTAATATTCTAATTTTAATTCGAGTTATTTTATTAATCCAGAAAAAGCAGCGGTTTCTCCCGCGGGGTTTCGAAATACAGAGGCGTTGCACGGTATATGTTTTTTTATATTCGTATTTACATTAACTTAATTAATTAATTAATTTACTTACTTACTATTCTTAAGTATGATTATTAATTTATTTAAATTGCAATACGCAGACATCACCACAACGGGAGATGGGAAGCTCGAATTGGCAGAGTGTTTGGCAACAAATACCTTTATCTCGGCACATACGGTAACTATTTATTTAACTTTAAAAAGAAAATTAGTCTCACTTTTGAATAATTATTATGAAATTTACAAATTCCATAAATATAATTATTTATCATAAAATTTACTATAAAATACTTTTATTTATTTTTTTCAAGTTATTTTCACTATTTTTTTTTTTTAAAATATAATCTAATATATAATAAGAGTCAAAACTTTAATCTATACTTTTTATAAAGATTAGTAAGTACCGTTTAACCTAAATAGTGTATTAGTCACTTTTACTCCTAGAATGTCTACATACAAGTGTGTGTATGCATACATGTATTTATTTATTTATATAGTTTCTCCTACAAGTATTTTCTTCTTTTTCCCTCCCAACTTTAATCATATTAATTATTCCAAAAAAAAAATTAAGTACCAAATCGTTTTCTTATAAAAAAAGAAAGAACTTTAATGATATTGGTGCATGAAACCAGAATTATTATTAATAGCTATAAAGTATACATATACATATATATATATATATATTTTTAAGTATAATAATAGGGTGACTGTAATTTCAGACGCTAATATACAAATCTTTAAAATATTTATAAAAAATAAATTAATTCTGTATTTATTTATTTTCATTAACTACCCACTTCTTTATAAATCAATTACTGAAAATGACATTTTAGGTTGTGTCATAAATCACGTAATTAATTTCTGTCCCGTGGCACCCCGGAGTCCGTAATCTACTAACAAACGACAAACGGGTGATTGAATTTCATGTTATTTGATCAAAGAATCCACTCACGTATACATCGGTTTATGTCAAATTCATTAATTTGGTTGAGTTTAATTTAATTTAATTTATTGAATAATTTAATATATGGTTAGCCAAACATATGCACGTTGCCTCGTTAGTTTGTATTTATGTATGTATATATATATATATATATATATGTATATATGGGTTTGAAAATTGGGACATGGGAAGTTGTCAGTTGAGCAACCCCCGGCCTAGAGTGTGAAAATTCTGACCAGAATCACACAATTTATTTAGTTAGTTGGGGTAGTCCACCAATTTAATCTAACCATTTCTATAAATAAATACGTATCTACACAGAGTCTAAAGCTAACTACTAATCAGAATTTCTAACTCCTCAAGTTTTTCTTCTTATAAATTTTTTAAGTTGACTTACAAGTTTGTTAAATGGGCTTTTTTTTTTTTACTAAATATAGTGGTTTTATGGTAATTTGCTTATATTAGTTGAATATAAGTGTAATTACAAAAGTTCAATTTTTTTAAAGTAGTAATTATAATTGTCTACTTATTACGTAATTAATTATTGCAGCAACGCAAGAAGAAGCAGCTACGGCATATGATATGGCTGCTATAGAATATCGAGGATTGAATGCGGTGACCAATTTTGACTTAAGCCGTTACATAAAATGGCTTAAACCTAGTCCGGACGACAAACAATCAAGTAATACTCACTACCCCGATACAAATTCTATTTCAAATACACCGCCAAACCCTAATCCCGAAGTTAAATTAAGCAACTTCTTTCACAAGCAATCAACAAACAGTCCAGATAATAAGACAACTAGTGTTACTAGTGAACACCAATATCAAGCTTTATTAACCCAACATCGCCAACCAACAACCGCTACTTCGGCCCTGGGACTGTTGCTTCAATCTTCCAAATTCAAAGAGATGATGGAAATGACATCAGCAGCCGATTATCCATTAAGCTCGTTAGAGTCCGATGAATGCAGTCAACAATCTCGACAGTGCAGCTTTCCTGATGATATACGAACTTATTTCGATTCAACTAGCTACGGAGAAGGGGAAGACATTATTTTTGGCGAGCTCAACACGCTCGTGCCGACCATGTTTCAAAGCGATTTCGATGAATAGGAATTTAATACATGTTATGCAACGTAGCCGATTAATTAAGTTAATTAATTGAATTAATTAATAACTTTATTTTGTTATTAAGCCTTTTTGTTCATACTCAATGGGACCTTAACGGGTTTCTTTCGAGCTTAATGATTAATTTGGAAGGGGATGAAGGACACATTTGATCGTCCCAACATAGTTAATTATTTCTTTTATTTGTAAATTGAGACAACAATAAATAAATTGTTAAAATATGTTTTGGATAATGTATTTTCTCTTTACTTTTTTATTTTTTCAATGTAAGAATTTTGTGTTCGATCATCATAATTTTAGTAATACAAGACATTGCAATATATTATCCTCTTGATTTATGCATGTACAACTGTATAGTTTGAGAACCCTTATTAGAAAAATTAGTCTGTAATGCATGCCGAATTTTGGAGAGCATTCAATGGTTTTTAACTCATTTAAAATGTCGAGTTTCGCAATATCATTCTGAAAATGAATAATTCTCTGATGCTGTAGTTACTTACTAAAGAGAATTACGGTGTTAATGTGCATGTCATCCTTATCTGTACGATTAAACACTTGTTATTGCAGGATTGACAGATCCGTATTCAATATGTCTATCACGAAAAAAATAAATGTACTGACCAATTGGTAAATATTAATTTTTTTTCTATAAATGGGTCTCCATTTACATGCTCAAGTACCATATGATCTTCAATAACTCTTCATTGATGATATCATAAGCGTCTCTTAGTTTAAGATGTGCATGACGACTTTTTAGTTTTTATTTTTTATTATAATAAAAAAGTCATAAATATTTAAATTATAGTAATTGTCAAACATGTATAACTCATCATTGATGATATCATAAGCGTCTCTTAGTTTAAAATGTGACAACTTCTTAATTTTTGTTTTTTATTATAATAAAAAAATTAAAATTATTTAATTTGTCGTGATTGTAAAACATGTATAATAAGTTAGTTAATTATTAATATTTAATAAATTACAATTTTCTTAATTATACCTTGCTAAAATCATCAATATAGACAGTAAACTTATTTACTAGTGTTTATTTGTTCTCATAAATGTATTTATGATTTCACATGCGACTGAAAAATATTTGAGTATAGATTATTATTTACTATTCCTATATAAAAAAACCACCCGATTCATATTTAGAGAGGAAAAATAAGTGGAATCGGGAGAGAAATAAATAGTATGTACCAAAAGCTGGCAAATGCATTACAAAATAGGAGCTTGGGTTGTTGGGTTAAATAGTAAACCTCCTTACTAGTATTTATTTGTTCTTATAAGTGTATTTATTATTCTAACTGCAATTCGAAAACCTTTAAGAGTAGAGATTACTATCAACTATTTCTATCTAAAACACATTCGATTCATATTTAGAGAGAGAAAATAAGTGGATTAGGAAGAAAAAGAATGGGCGTGTACCAAAATATGACAAAGGTGTCTTAAAATAGGGGTTTGGGTTGTTGGGTTAGATAGTAAACCTCTTTACTAGTATTTGTTTGTTCTTATAAGTGTATTTATTATTTCAGTTACGATTGAAAAATATATGAGAGTAAAAATTACTACCTATTATTTCTATCTAATAAAACCACCCGATTCATATTTAGAGAGAGAAAATAAGTGGAGTAGGGAGAAAAAGAAAGATCATGTACCAAGAGCTGTCAAAGGTTTTACAAAATAGGGGCTTGAGTTTTTTGGTTATTCAGTAAACCTCCTTACTAGTATTTATTTGTTATTATAATTGTATTTATTATTCAAACTGCGATTAAAAAACTTTTGAGAGTATAAATTACTGTCTACTATTTCTATCTAAAAGAACCATATGATTTATTGCAGCTGATCTCACCAACCCTCTTTTTTTCTAATTCACATACAACACTAAGATATAACTTAAGTACCAGATGATCTCCAACAATTCTTTATTGATGATATCACGAGCATTTGTTATCTTAAAATGTGTACGACGATTTTTTAATTTTTATTTTATATTATAATTAAAAAAAAATCATAATTATTTAATTTGTCGTGATTGTCAAACATGTATAATAAATTAGTTAATTATTAATATTTAATAAATTCAATTTTCTTAATTATACCTCGCTAAAATTATCAATATAACGAAATAAAACAAATAAAATATTTGTAAATTTTTATTTTTATGATAATATAAAATAACTTGTTGCTTTTAGCACGTTGCCCTCATCGGTCATAAATACGCTCTCATTTATGTCAGTTGCTTTAGGATTTTGTACCAGAAATCATTAAATGCTTTGTAAGTACAAGTGAAAAATTGCGCAAATATTTTAATTTATAATTTTCAAAAACCAAAATATATCAGTAATTGTTTTAAATTCATTAGCCAGTGTTCATTGCTATAAAAAATACTTATAACTACATAAGTCAATCTTCTTCAAATATATATATATACATATAATCAAATATATATATATATATAGTTAGTAATTATTAACCCACCTCTCTGAATTTTTTTTTTATACTTCAACTTAATATTTATATTAGTATGCCTATTAAATTATTAATTTAATAAATTTATTTAAAAATAATTAAATACAATTAAATATTATTAAATTTTAATGCATCGAATTTACTTATAATTTTATAATATTATCATTTTATAATTAACGAAATAAGAATTGTACAACTTTATCGATATAAAATATAGTTATAATATTCGAATCACAAAATTATTATTATTATTTTTTTTAATTTTAATCATTATAAAAAAATTAATTTTTAAAATATCGTATTGATTCAAAAATATTTATTATATAACGGAATTAAATATTTTGCGATCAAAGTGCGCTTCCGCTTACATTTTTTAGTGATTCACTACAAAATTGAATGTTTAGATTTACGTATATAACATCAGAAACCCACTTAATGCAACCCACGTAAAGACATGCAGAATCATCGTACTGATTAAGCATTAAAAATAAAAAAAAGGGTCAAAATAATTTGTAATTAACGACAAAATATAGTCCAATAATGGACAATTAAAAGCAATATAAATTAATTAAAAATATTTGATGGATAAGGAAAGAAAATTAAAGATAAAGACCATGTCTGTATATGAACAACAGTGCACTCTGTGATGTTATTAGAATGGAAATCTGAAAAATTTGCTAATATTTTTAAAGATATAAATATATATATATATATTATGTTAAATGTTTAAATTTGTATCGTAAAAATTAAATTTTCTTGAGGTATGAATGGTTACAAATTAAACGAAAATGGAAATAAGAAAATTAAATAATAAAATCTCATTATTTGATTTTCAAATTCAAGATTAGCCAGTTTATTTTTAACTTTCAAACAAAAATTAGGCAGTTAATTTTTAAATGATGAAAAATTATATATATATATATATATATATATACAAATATCTTTTTTTTTTTTTATAAAAAGATTAATCCAAGAAATAGGACAAAAAAAACTTATTAATTTAGTAAATGTTGTGCAAAAACTAATATATTGTATAATAATTTAATGAAAATTACTTAACTATTAGGACAATCCAATAAAAAGGACATCAAAAAATTTGACAATATAAGTAACTTATTGAATATAGTATACGTATGTGTGTGTATATATATATATATCTATACATTTTTTTTGAAGTTAAGACAAAAAAAAAAAAGTAATTATTATAAAAAGTAATTTTAAATAAAAATATTTTTAATTAACAGTTATTTTAACATAAATTAGAGTTTGACGTAATTTAATTAAATTAATATATATTAATTATGCTTGTTTATTTTTTATTTTAATTACTCCGACATTCTTTGTCTTTCTTTTTTTTTTCCCCCCTACATATACATTGAATTATAATATTGGAATAATATTTAATATTGTTATTTGTAAAATAAAATTGTTTAATGAATGTCTATAGTTAATTTAAATTATAATGATAACATTGTAAAATAATTATTCGAGTAACGCATGAAATATACTATAATTTAAATTCATAATACAATATTTGAGTAACACGCCAAGTATATATATATATATATATATAGTTTGAATTGAGAATCTTACAATTGCAATTTGTTATATAATCATTATTGTAAAACCGTTTGGTTTAATTAGCAAGAGATAATTATATTTTAAATATAAATTTGTAATTAAAAATCATTAATGCCTCATTAATATTAATGAGTTCGAAAAATTTTAATTATTTTAATTTATAATTTTCTAACGAACCTTTTAAAATTAATTAACTATTTGATAGAATAATTAAATTAATTCCCAATTGTCATTATGTAGTTATTTAGTAATTATTTTTGATTTTTTTCTTATTATAGATAAATTAAAAAAAAAAGATATTTAACTAAATAATCAAACTACTTATTTTAAATTCAAATTTAAATTGTATCATTTATTATTTTCAATTAAAGGGGCAAAAAAATAAGAAAGGAAAAGAAAATTTACGCACGTGTGCGATGATGTCAACGCGTGTGCTCCTCCAACGGCTCCCAACTATTCTGATCCAGATGAGGTTTTCTTCACCCCACGGCGCACATTAGTATCAGCCCCCTCTTTAATCTCTTTCCACATAAATCCAACTGCAAATGGTATTCTCGTAATTCTCTCTGAAAATTTTCGCGAAATGCCATATATGATCAAATGTTATATTTCCCGCCTAAAGAACCATCTCCCTCTTTCTCACTCTTCTCTATATATACAGTTACACGCATGTTCAAACAAGATTTCTAGGGTTGTTTGCTCATCTCTGATAATTACATGCTACTGCGATGCCGGGTTTCGGGAATGTTCCTCTCATGTCGTCTCTCACTCTTACTCGCTGCCCTAACTTGAAACTGGTTTTTGCCGATTCGGCGGATTCAGGCGAGTCTCCTTGCCATGACTTGGTCAAGACCCCAGCCGGGGAATGTAATTTGGACCAGGGAGACCTGCAGTTACCATCAATGGAGAAATTAGAGGAGGAGGAGGCTTGCAATGGGGACGGGATTAAAGTCCTAAAGGCGAAGCCGTGGTTCACTGTGTCGAGCCAAGAAGGCGGAGAATGACAGGGTTTGATGGATCACGTGAAGGACTGGGTGGAGAAGAAAGTGGAGTCAGAAGTTCCGGATCACAGTGTTTTCTTCCCTTTCTGTGGGCTCCAAGAAAAATGGTACTCGATGTTCTTTTTAGCTTCCCTTTATGTCTGTTTAATCGCTTAATCAATTTATAGTTAAGTTAATAAGAGACTTTTTTAGTTGATAAGAGAATTCGAGTAGAATTCTAAAACTTCTACAAATTGTTGTTCTCTGTTTACTATTTTTTTGGTTTGTATAGAGAATTTGGAAAGAGAAAAGAGAGTAAAGTTTAAAGAAGTTGATAAAAGAATTGTTGGGATAATCAGACTACAGCAAGCACTATCCTAGATTTGAGATGTCAGAAGCCTAATGTTGATACGGGGCTTCAGTAAAGATAGTCTTTTTTTTTTTTTGTCTTTTAATCTTCAGTATTGTTCTATTTATGGCCAATTGGATTTTGGCTGCATATATTTTCTTTGGAATTTGGCACTTTCAATAAAGACAAATCGCATGTCAAACTTGTTCTAGGATAATTTCCTGAGTATTTGGTTCCCCGAGATTATTGGAAAACCCTGCAGTTCCCGTTATGCACTGCTAGTAAATATATCCCTATTGCAACATTTTAAACTGAATTGCAACAACCAGGAAGGTAAGGAGATAATTGAATAGCAAACTTTTATCCGAATTAAACTTGTTTTCTCTTGTTATAGTAAAGCTTAGAGAGGAGAGAATGGTTTTGTTTCTTTTCTATATGTATGTTTCTTTTCTTTTCTACATAGTAAAGCAACGGTTTTTCCTGAAAAAGTGATATATTTCATTCATCATGTTATTTATTATACACCAAATTCTGTCTCTTAACCCTTTGGTTTCATCTCAGGTTGAATGTCTTGCTTGCCATAAGCTTATCAACCCGGGAGAGGAGCTGTTATGCACTGTTCGTGGATGTCAAGGAACTTATCACTCAGTCTGTGCAAAGGATAAACTTGGCATCTCTAATCTGAAAAAGTTCAAGTGTCCACAACATGTAACATCTTGTTAACTCTAATTTACTTTTTCTTCTCAAAGAGATCTATCTCCTTAGATTTGTTATAATTAGTGCTCTACTGTGGTGAGTTGCTTTACTGAGTTTGATAAAAGCAGTCTTGTATGGTTATTAAAGAATTTGTGAATGCTTGCTAGGGTTGCTTCTTTATGTTTATTGGCAAAGAGAACCACTTTTCATGACTTGTTTGTATTGCATTCATTGACCATAAGGGTGGCTCAGCAACTTGTCTTCTTTTGTCTACAATAACGTATTAGGTTGCTTTATATATTATGGGGTTTGAGACAGGTTGACCTCAAACTGCCAATGATGGGCTATGTTGCGTAAATTTCTCCAGACGTATCTTATTCTGGATCTAACTTCAATTTGCTAGTTCTAAATGAGCCAGTTGTTGCGTGTTAGTTTGATGATCCTAATCCTGTTGTTTCTTCCTTTTATATTTTGTAAATTCAATAAACTTAGTACCATATCAAAAAATAACAATTTAACGCCATCATCCTGGAACATATATAGTAATCATGGAGCATGAGCCGATACTTTATTTAGTACTAGTTATAGTTACCTCACTAATGTTTTCTTATCAACAGGAATGCTTCGTTTGCAAACAGAGGGTAAAATGGAGATGTGTGCGATGTCCAGTAGCTACACATGATAAACATGCTCCATGGCCAGATGAAGTGATTCATTTGGAAAGTCAACCTGGATCAGCTGTTTGCTGGAAGCACCCAATGGATTGGCGACTAGATAGGAAGGTCGATTTCTTCTTTCCTTCATAAGATATTTCCCCTGTTTCAAATACTATATTGTCAACTAGTTTATGATTTCTTGATCAATAAAAAAAAGCTGCGTTGCACCGAGCATGAGCTCTTTGGCTGGTGGTAGGTTGTTTGCATGTTGGTTACCACATGATCTATTTAAGAAAATAGATATGTTTCTCACAATGAATTTCATTCGATTAAACATGTTTACTTTGTTATTGATATTGGTTAGCATAGGGGTCAAACTAATAAGCTCAATAAGAAATAGAGAGTTGAGAAGGAGAGGTAGATAAATTGAGAAAAAAAGAACAGCACAAGCTGAAATAAGAGCAATAGGCTCCTTTTTTGTTTTTAAATAAGAAATGGTGCGCTTCTTAAAGTTATGACTTGCTATGATTGGCCCATAAGGTACAAATTTATCGTACCATAAGACTAATCATAAAAGAAGTAGAAAACTACAACTCATAATTCTGCTTCATTAAAGATTTTATTACATATAAGTATCTTAGAGAATCTAACTAAATACCAAACTACAATTTAAACAGGAAAGCCTAAATATAATAAAATTCTAGACATAGTGGGAAACCCAAAAAAGTAAACAACATTAAGAGTATATAATGCAAATAGTAGAATTGCTTGCTTTCTCTCGACTAAAGCTTTCAGAATATTTAATTATCCAATATTTTCATTTTGCTTTGTATTGGTGCTTAGGACCATGAGTTCAAATCTCAAGAATCTTGTCCCTTCTCCTTTGTCTATTATAGGGCCTTGGAGCCATACAGTCCATGCTTTATTTTTAAGTTCGACTCCAAGTGTTAAACTCAAAATTTACTTTGTACTTTAGGAGGCATATTGATAATATACATGGTAAATGATAGACTGGGCTGAGAGATATACTTGCATAATATACTTGCTATTCTGAAGTAAATTTCCCCCTTTACATAATATGAAATCCTAAACAAAGTAGTATGAATTCTGATGTGAATCCTAGTAAAAGTAATTCTAACCAAAAGGTAATCTTATTACATGTACGAATCTGAAAATTTGTAACCATAAAGGACCATAATATAATTAGCTTCCTAATCAGTACTAGAAACTAAAAATATTAAAACATTAATTATGCTCCCTAGTAGCTATACAATCAACCCTCGCTTTGTTAATTTTCATGTTCATGTGGATTTCATATTTAAGGATAGATGCTTTGGGTTCTTAACACAGTTGCCATTGAATTTCAAAATAAATCCTGGGGCAGAACTTTGAACTTCAGTTAACATATCACACTTGAATTTTACTTTGGACTTGAATATTTTCATTGTTTATGACTTGGATCTATTTAAAATTCCACCGAACAATTTTGTTGGGCAAATTGGGTTAGAAGTGTTTGAAATGGGATGCTTGCTGGTAATGTTGTCGAGTGCTTCTTGAAGGTGAAGATGTTACCCTATCTGTTGGAGCTGCCTAAAGGCTTCAAAATAAAGTTCAGATCTGCTTTCTTATTTGAATTAAAGCAGTTTGGCTTTGACTTGTAAGTCCACAAAATCTACATGATGTGAGATCTCAATACTCAAATCTATAATTCAATATTTTATAAATAATCATGTAAATCATCAAACAAGTTACTAAATTAGGGTGCCTTATATATAGGCACCAAAACAAAATTAAAATAGAAAGTCTTACACCCATGTAGGAATTCTATTGAATAGAAAATAGTCAATTAATTAAGTATTATAATAGGAAGAAGTAGAAAAGAAATAGAATCTTTGTATTCCTTTTAATTTAAAATATTTATTATTGGTTCTGCATTAGTATGGCTCTCAACATTTTAATAGATTTAATCTTTACCTGACCAATGACGACTCTATTGCTATTAGATTTGAGATTCCAGGGCTAAATTGTTTTAAAATATTTTAACCTTAATCCAAAGTAAAAGACTCCTGGCATTCTTGTATATTAGCTATGGCTTTCTTCACTAATCTTGTGTAAAACCTATGTCTCCAGGAGTGTCAAAAGCCTTGGTCAAGGTTTAAACAAGGGTGTCAGAATTCATGACACCACCTGTCAGAAGGTTTTCGTGTCCAGTATATGATGTCTCTAGCAGATGTCTATTATGTCAACTTATATTCTCCTTGATGGCTTTGCACCTTTTTGTCTTAATTCTTTGTTGAGGTTTTATCTCTCCTTTGATATTTTTTATTGATTAGGCTGGCTGATAGAGACTGATATGTTTGTTGAATAAGCAGCATGCAGTTGCAGGGACAAAGATAGAGGTCAGTTTTATTCTGCTTTGTTAATGTTGTTGCTTGACAGATACGAAGTGGACCTATATTTTTGCAGCTGCTTCTAGGAACATGTATAATTTTTCTTATTTTTGGGAAAGAGAAGGTGAATTTTCATTTAGAAAAAGTGATAAGTATGACGCATTTTTGAATTGATATCTCCACTGGCTCACTGATGATTAATCAGAGTGTGCGCAAAGATAGCAGCTAATGCCCCTGGCACACACTTGAGCCTATGTGACCATTGACACAATGGAGGCTTAGTGCTTAGAGGCTTATATATCTAGAGACTATTCCTGACTTTGGATAGAATGAAGAGAAAATACTGGATAGTCACATATCAACTTCAAATTTGAATGTCTCTTCTAGTTGCTAAAATACATACTATATCTCAGTTTTAAGTCTTAGAGGTGAAACAAGGACTATCACAAGCTTTTCTAATAATTAAGATGCCACGGGAAAATCACACTGAACAAGAGAGAATACTACGAAGGTGCATGCGCATATTATGTGCCAGGGCAGATTAGAAGGCATGATTGTGTTTTGCATCATGTATTATCAATTTACTATGACATCTGTTTATCAATTACTTTATTCAATGAGCTAATTCTTGCCTTTGCTTGATCTCCTAGGAAGTATTTTGCCAATTGCCTCTACCATATGAATATGAAGAGTTCAAGATTGATTTTATGTCGAAGGACTTGATGAACAAAGGAGAGCCGCCTCCATATGTGCACATTAGGCGCAGTATCCAATTTATGCTCTCTGTTAGGAACAAAGATACTGGTGAAACACCAAAATGGTTGTTGGGCGGGACGAATTTTTCTTGTGATTTTGCAATGATATGCTAGCTCCTAGTCTTACTATCCCGATTAGTATTTGACCATTGGACTATCCTTAACTGAAATTAGATATCTATCTAGTCAAGAAGAAGCGTGATGATGCCAATGATGATGTGGGATGCACAAATTGTAGCACACCATGCTTGGAGGATTGTGTGTGCAGGTATTGCTTGATTATCTGCTAATTAGTTTACATGATGTCTATTTTTCATGGTTTTCTTTTTCCTTTTCAAATATTAGCATGTAAAATTTTTAGATGGAGACAAGTCAAGTTAATCAATAACAAGTTTTTTTCTTCTTTTTTGGCAATAGCTGATAATCAGAATTCTCTTCCAAGGGAAGTATCGCTGGCAGAACTTGTGTTTTATGATGTTGTTTTTTACTACATCTTTATCCTCATTTTAAGTATATTAAATGGATACTTTTCTTTAAACATTTTGTCATGAGCAACTGTTAATATTTTTTCCATCATCTATATGTTTGAATTTGTAAATGCTTATGATTAATCATTCTTTTTGTTAATTAAAATATTTAGAACTTCAATATGTCACCGGTTAGAATTATTACTTGGTTATACCTTGTACTAGAGTTCAATGCATAAGCTGCTCTAGGGCTTGCCGTTGCTCAGAGAACTGCACCAACAGGCCATTTCGTAAGGAGAAGAAGATAAAGATTGTTAAGGTAAGAAATTTTCTTTCGGGATAGCATCATTCTTTTTTATCATATGATATGAGCAGAAAATGCTCTGTCCTCATTGATTATATTTTAGATCTTTAAATATTACGGGGGAGATCTTGACCACTAAATTACTCTTTCCCATTAAACATATTTAGGTAAATTTTTTGATTGCATTTTTAATGAAAAACTAATCTTTTTTAAATTTTTTTCCTTTTCCAGACTTTGCTTTGTGGTTGGGGAGTAGAGGCAGTTGAACCCATAAATAAAGGAGATTTTATAATTGAGTATACTGGGGAAGGTATTCATTTGCTTTTATTAGCTATTTTCACCTATTGACATCTAGTCTTCTTCTCATATTTGTTATTGCTTTGGGAAAAAAATTTGTGGAAAAGGAAATTAGTTGACATCTAATCTACTGGCTCAGATCCTCTTGCCATTTTTTTGAGAAGGGATCCATGAGTTTCTGAGGATATTAATTTGGTCGTTTGTGCTTGTAAATTTTTTTGTCGTTGCTTATTCCGATATTTGGTTGATTTGTTAGTCTTTTCAAGTTATGTTGGCATAAACCTCACTGCTCTGTTGAGATTTCACTTTGCTTTCTATTGCACTACTTATCTATCTGTGCAGTCGGAAAGTTTTACTATTGCTTAGCATTCTCTCCAGTCAATATTTCAGTATCTCTTTTTTGTCTTTTGAAAAGATTCTTTTCTCTTTTAAATTACAGATATTGAGTTTGTAATTTTTGTTAAGTACCTCCATGTTGGTCATACAAGCCAGTCAATTAGGTGTTATAGGTCATTTTTAACCATGATTTCCTAGGAATGATGAACAATATATGGGATGAATAAATAACTTGGAAAGGGAAAGAGATGGATCTTTTATAGACTAGAGGATGATTTTATTTTTATTATACTAAGTACATTATCACTTCTTGTGGTTTGACCTAATAGTGATCTCTATGGTCTTTTTTATCCTCTTAACTGCTTAGTATTTTGTGCTTTGAGTTTCATAGTTTTGCCAAAAACTGTTTATTTTTTAGGATGTCCATACTTGTCTAGACTTCTAAAGAAGAACGAGCGGAATTTCATGGCTAAATACAATCTTTAGGAAAAATGGAAGACAACAATAAAAATATAAAATAAACTTATAATTTTATATATAACAAAAAAATCACAAGGATAGAATTGGAAAGAGACAAAATTTCTAAATCTAGTAAATTATTATTTTTCCCAAACTTGCAAGTTACAATTTCTCTAACTATTTCAATGCAAATCAAATCTATAAGGAACTTAGAGTTGACTTATTGAACAAACATAATTAGTTCTAGCATTTCTTATGCTTTATTTGAAACGGGAAGGAAAAGGAAAGGCTATAAACTCTAGTTACATGCACATGTTTGAATCAGTAAGCTGATTTGATGCTATAATCATTTGAGACTTGGCTGTTACTTGCGTGCAGCGGGCCACGGTTATTTTAATCTCCTGGTCAAGTGCATTAGTAAGTTCTTTCTTGTACCTATACTTCTACTATAAGTTGGTGACACTTGTTTTGGTCCTTTTTAGCAGAAGAAAAGGTAGAAGGATATGATGGTGAATAACATAATTGGGGAATGTCAACATGCCTTTATCCGGGGGGGAGATAGACTACCCACACCGACTTTAATTACTAATGAACTAATGTATTAAAAGAGAGGGGGAATCCTATCTAAACTCGACATGGGGAAGGTTTATGACTATGTAAATTGGAATTATATGAGTTACATGTTGACAAGTATTGGCTTTGGGCATAAGGTGGTGCATGTGGATTATGACCTTCGCCATGATGGTGCATTTGCTGTGATGGCGAGTAGGGGCTCAGGTAAGGAAATCTTTTATCGCACTTCCTCTTTATCATTGTTATAGAAGTTTTGGACAAGATGCCATGGTGGGGTGGGCCAAAGAACTTGGGAGTGTTTAGGGGATTTGAATGTGGGGGAAGGGGAGAATACGGATGAAATGGCGCATTTATTCTTCGCGATAACAGACTGTTATTCTGTGAATCGGATGTCAAGGCCATTCTCAATATCTAGTGTTTTCTTCTTAGTTTCCAAGCAAGCTCGGGTCTTAATATTAATCTTGCCAAGTCGCAATTAGTGAGTTTGTGGATGATAGTGGAAGTTCTGTTATGGCTAGAATTAGGATTGCAGATCATCTAGCTTCCTTATTAAGTACTTGGAGATCCCCTGGGGGGTGAAATACATAGATATTTTAGATTGGGACTTGGTGACGACGAGGTTGAGTTCTGTTCATTAGGATGGAAGAGAAACCTCCTATTGAAATGGGAAAGGCTAACCCTCATCAGAAGTATCACAACTAACATTTCAATTTACTGCACTTCATTGCTGACTTTGCCAATTAGTGTCGCCAAGAAGTTGGAGTCAATCCAATGCAAATTCTTATGGGGCCACTCTGATGAGGAGAGAAAATATTACCTTGTCACATGGACATAGTTAAGCAATCGATCCTACAGGGAGGAGAGGGGTTTTGGGTTTTAGATCTTTAGTTAAGGTGAACAAGGCACATCAAAAGAAGTGGTTGTGGAGCATGAAGCTTGTGGAGAAGGACTATTAAGGCCAAATTTGAGGTTGATGGATTGAATAGGTTTACAAGGAGTCTTTCTAGGCCACAAGGTTTTGGGCTGCAGAAGAAGATTTGCAGGGGAGGGATGAGTTCATGAAATGCATTAAAACGGAGGGTTGGGTCTGGGGAGAGAGTTGTGATGAGTGGCTTGAAGGTGGGGCATTCAATTAGTTCCTCAAATTCTTTTTCTTTCTTGGCACAAGGGGATCATTGTTCAAGGATCCTTTCATGTTTCTAGTAGTAATAGTTTGTGGCTTGTGTAGACCGCTAGATATCTTGATGATTGTGAGGTTAGTGAGTTTACCCTTTTCAGTGCTTTTGACCAAATGTATCCCAATGACGATAAAGATTAACCTATTCAGAGGCTTAACTCAAAAGGTTTGTTTACTGTGAAATTCTTTTACATGCCCTCTTGCAAAAAGAGCGAAACCAGCACAGAGCTACCTGCTAAATTGATCTAGAAGGTTAAGGCACTGATGAGGATGGCTTTTTTCACCTGGGTAATAACTAGAGAGTGTATTCTCACTCTAGATAAATTAAATAGGAGGAGAAAAATCTTGATTAATGATTGTTACTTATGCAAGAGGAATGCAGAATCATGTAACCATATCCTGTTATGACGTCCTCTTGCTTACTGCTTGTGGACTATGGTCTGTGATCTACTGGCATCAACTGGGCGATTGCTGACTCGATTAAGGATGAAATTGGGGCTTGGCATGATGGGGTTAATAGGGACAAAAGGGCAAATCTCATTCCTTTGGCTACGTTCTGGAAAATTTGGAAAGAAAGGAACAAGAGAGTTTTGGAGGGTTATGAGCGGAGTTACGATAGGTTTAAAGATTATTGGTTCCGGATCCTAAGTTTTTTTATAAAGAGTTATCCTCTTTATGCTATTGAGGATTC